AAAAAAATCTTAAAAAGTAAGAAATGGTCGATGTTCATTGATGAAGAGAGACGATTGCAAGTTTTGTAGGTTTGTTTGGTTATTGGCACTTTGTACATGAATGGCACCAATTACGACTCATAATGACATAAACCAATGTTTTGTTGGTGAACACTGAACAGAGCTCAGGGACTGGGAAGTGGGAAACATCACATGTGCCTAAGTTCCCGAGACCCGAGCTGCCAAAATTAGTTGGGTACGCCATTTATTTTTGAAAATGAAAAGAATGACAGTGAAGTTTGTGGCTTTTGAATTTCGTTTTACACCTACAAACTATGATGATTATTAATTATATTTTTTCGCCGAAAAATGAAATTCTCATGTTTTTCTGGCGTTTGACAGTATTTTTCTCTAAAAATAAAAAATAATGAATTATCACATTATCCTTCAAAATATTCCTTTATTCAAATTTAAAAGCATTTTGAAATTTAGATATATAGAGAAAGACGGCAACAAATCTAATTAACTACAAATAACATGTTAGAGAGATACAAAAGATATAAAAATAATTAATTAAGTTTCACATAATGTATTAAGATTTTGGATTGAAGTAAAGCTTGGATCTGATCCTCTAATGTGAAAATTCACATGACAATGCAATGTGGGAAATCATAACCATACAAAGGTGGATCAATGGTAAAAAAAAAGGAAAGAGAAAAAATGATAAAATAGGTAGTTACGAAATCATAACCGTTGATTTACTTTTGTATGATTGTGATCTTCCTAGATGACCGTATCATGTTTTTTTGGCATGTTAGAGGCTTTTTCACCTTAGTAGTGTCATTTTCATAAGGTTTTACCGGAATAATTTCTTGGTCAAACATATTACCTATATAATGCATAAGGACGCGGTAATGTGAGAATCACTTTAGGACGTGACACTTTAGCAATCGCGTCCTTTGCATTTGTTCCTGACCACTGGAACGTGATACCCTGACAATCACGTCCTATTCCCAAGACCTAAAACGTGATACCCTGGCAATCACGTCCTATTCCCAAGACGCGGTACCCTCTCAGCCACATGTCAGTGGGTCCCATCCCAAAAAGAATTCAACGGGAAGCGGTAGTGTATAAGCCGCGTTCCAGGTTACAAGTCAAGTCGGAGTCAAGCAGATATATATTTCACCTAAAATTTAGACATATTGATATATTCACGGTAAAAGAGTTCAAAAAATCCAATAAAAACAACAAGTCATTTTCGTACAAAATGGTTTTTATAGTTGCTAGCAATTTATTCTTTACTGGTTAGAAGACTAACTCTTAAACCAGAGAATAATTAATTTAGAAATTTACTAACAATAAAATTATAATTTTAAGGTGTTGGATGAAGGTCTTTATAATGATTTATATTATTCACTTACACACTCACTCATACAAAAGCCCTTTGGGCTTGAAGTATGAATTTTGCATAGATTCTATTTTTTTTTTGTTTACCTTAATATAAATCATTAAAAAAATTGGATTAAATTGTTTCTTTCACATATTGGAAATCGGGAAAGCAGACCAAACACGAAACATGGGTATATATTGGATTTATTAGATTTTATGTACTCTTTTACAATGAATATATCAATATGCCTAAATTTTAGGTGAAACATATATATCTGTTTGGCTTTGACTTGACTTGTAACCTGGAACGTGGCTTATACACTACCGCTTCTTGTTGAATTCTTTTTGGGATGGGACCCACTGACATGTGGCTGAGAGTGTCCCGCGTCTTGGGAATAGGACGTGATTGCCATGGTATCACGTTCCAGTGGTCTAGGGAATAGGACGTGATTGCCAAGGTATCACGTTCCAATGACAAGAACAAATGCAAAGGACGTGGTTGCTAAAGTGTCACGTCATAAAGTGATTCCCACAGTACCGCGTCGTTATGCATTATATAGATAATATGTTTGACCAAAAAATTATTCCGGTGAAACTTTATGAAAACGACAGTACTAAGGTCAAAAAGCCCATGTTAGATGATCCATTTCCGTGAAGCTTATCACAAAACTCCTATGTTAGTGTGAAAAATAACGTAATTGACTTTTATCATTTTACATTTACCCATCCTTTTATATATGGTTATTTTCATTTAAGCATGATATTTTTCTATTTTTACTAAAAGAGTAGATACTCTTGTAGTATAAAATATATGCTCTAGTCGATGTGATTCTTAAATTTAAAAAATTTATAAATAAAACGAAACTATGGTTTAACATTTATAATTCCCTCAAATCCTTCCATTAAATTCATTTCCTTTGATTTATTTAATTTTCTTTTCTTCCATATATCTAAATACATAACATCATATGATCATCTTAATTACTGACAATTAATAAATAACTGAAATTTTTTACATATCATATTAAAAATATATTAAGGATTGATTCCCTCATCATATAAAAAAACAAGTGACGATTTTTTCAATGTTTAAGTTGTAAAAACTTATTAAAAATAATAAATATTTTAATAGATCAAGATTCTTCATTTATTTTATTTTTTCCAATTCATTTTAGAAAACCCTAAACAAGATTTTTTACTTAAGATATATTCTCTTTGACTTTTTCCTTTTTTTTTTTTTTTTGTCATTTCCAAACATTCGGGACTAATCACTTTGGCAACAAGTGGCTCCATTGATACATAAGCGTTGCATATATTTACTCAGTAAGCGACCGTGGAGTTGTCTTATTGGTTCCCTGTCATATCGTGGTTCCGTAGCATTATTGCTCATATGTTCTTTCTCATCATTAACCAGACAAGGTTCACCTGTGCTGTTACATCGTTCAGTCCCCTCATCGCTTGTGAACCACGTTTCTAGTAGGCCATGTGAACCACGTTTCTCTTGTCCAAGTGACATTATTGCGGTTTGAATTATGAAAAAATCATTACTTTCGTAGAAGATAAATTTTTTTATATTCAGAAATTATAATTTTTAGGAATATAGTGAAAAGATTATTTTCTCAAAAATATTAATAAAAAATTATTTGATAAGTTAAAATATTGCCAAAATTTTATTTAAAAAAAATATAAAATTATCCCAACACCTAAAATTTCAAAAATATCATTCATTTGACGATATTTTTGGATGACATTTTGAAAAACAAAAATTGTATACAAAATAAAATCTCGAAAAAAAATCAGATTTCTGAATTTTTTTTAAAAATTTTATATTAAATATGAATAAATATAATTACTCTTATCACTTTTTTAAAAATCTCAAAAAATTTGCAGTATCAAATACCCCTTTTAAGGCCTCATATGGGAATAATTGTTATTTTGCTCAGATTCCTGATTAGTGCGAATTTATTTTCGCTTAGCCAAAATAAATAATTAAAATCATGAAATAAAAAAAAATGGAATGAGCATCCAAATTTTCAAACGTAATGTGAAGTCAAATATGTTTCATAGATTTTAGTATATCGCTACGGCTGAAAATTTTCCACAATCGTGGGAAGGATAATCATTTGGGTAACCTATAAGAACAGGGAATGAATCAATTAAAAATAAACTAACGGTGAAAATTTTCTTTATATTGAAAAAAAGTACAGCAATAACTCTTATAAATAATTATTTTTTGTTGGTTAACTCTTTTTAGATAATTTTTTATCATATTGAAAAAAAAAGTACAGAAAATAATTTATAGAAAGAATATTGGAAAAAGTGTTTGTTCTTTGAAATGATACAACTTGTGTCATTTCACTCTCACAAAGAGTTGGAATTCATATTTTTAATTTTTTTTTGTCCACACTCCATATTCTTTTATTTATCTATTTCTCTCGTTTAAAATTATATAATTTTATATTTATCCAAGAATGTAAAGTCTGAACCATTATTTTATTATTTAACCGTATCATGTCAGTCTCGTCTGATTCACAGACTTATCATACGAGTTTTGACTAATCTAATCATTGCTACCTGCTCCGTTCTTCACCTCTGGTTTCTCTTTGACAATTAAAAGCAACAAACATGGTAACGTACGTAATAAGTCAGTCATGTTAATTGTCAGCCTTTGTTTTGCAAAAGTAAAAATAAAAATAAAAATTCAAAGGACCAAAACATCATCAATGAAAGTAAGAATGGAAATACAAGGTGCAGCTGAGTTGACATCCTGACTATAGTTCAAGGGTCGAATTCTGTGGCAAGTTATGACTTTGATTTTTGGGTTCACTTTTTATCATGTCACATGACAAGGTTATTTTTCTGCACACACAAATCAAGTGTGAGTCTCATGCTTAAAAAAAAAAGTTAAACCAAAATCAGGATACGGCGCCGTATCCTCAAGATACGTTGCCGGATCCTTATTGCAGGAATAAACAGTGTCATTCCTGCAACATGATTCTTATATTTCCCTTGATTTTTATAAGAAACATTTTGAAACCAATGATAAAAATTATTACGCTCCAAGCCACCAACGTGGCTTAGTCTCATCCTACATTACAGGGGGACAGTGACCAAAATGCCACGCTTTGGCAAAAAAATTACTAGAATGCGTGAACAGTAAAATTTTTCAAACTGCCACGCGGCATAATTCGCTACACAGTGTAGCGAAATATGCCACGTCAGAACCAAAAAGTGCCATGTGTCAGAATGTTGAAATTCGCTACATAGGGTAGCAAATTTCAACAATTTTGACACATGACAATTTTTGGTTCTGACGTGGCATATTTCGCTACATTGTGTAGCGAATTATTTGCTTGCATAATTCGCTACATATGCCGCGTGACAGTTTGAAAAATTTTATTATTCGCGTGGCATTTTGGTAATTTTTTTCCAAAACGTGGCAAAATGATCACTATTCCCGTTACAGGAACACCCAGGTTTACTTTAAAAAAAAAAAAAGGGTGACAAGCCATTTTTACCTAACAAGCTTATTATGGTTAATCATCAACCTAACAAGCTTATTATTGCTATTTGCTATAAGTGACAATAATAATGAATAACATATTGGTCCCCTTCAATCAATGGTAGAAAACGCATGTGTCTATGTCATCTCGCTTCCATTATTGCCACTTCACATTTTTTTTTCCTCGTCTTCTTCATATGAACACGGATAGTGGGAAGTAGCTTGTTCATATTTATGGCCAATATATGTTTATATGTTTTGGTCGAAGATCATCACTGGTACTCAGACTTGTCTTATCCGTTCGTATAGTTTTTCTTTTTATGATTATTTTGTTTGTGCATTCATTTCATGAATGTTGGAGTGAAGCAGAACGAAACCATATATTATATATATTTAATCTATGGTTTTGAACATTGCATGTACTTTAGGTTTGTTTGAGATATATTTAGTTTACAAAAATCTCTTCTTTGTGTTTGTAGGATTAATTAGCATATATTTTCCGAAGATTTGTGATAATGGGGCTTCTGGATCTTTTCTGGGTTGCCTCTTTCCCAGTTATCAAAGTATTACTAATCACTGCAGTTGGCTTGTTACTTGCACTTGATAACATAAGTTTATTGGGAAAAGATGCAAGGATACAAGTGAATCATGTAAGTCCAGGAGTGCTTAATAAAGTTTATTTTCCTCTTTTTTCTTACTTCTATTTATTAATTTCTTACTGACCACAGTGTTTCATCTGTGTCAGCTTGTACATTATGTGTTTAATCCTGCACTGGTGGGTGGCAATTTGGCCGAAACGATTACTTTTGAGAATGTTGTTTTGTTGTGAGTATTGGTTTGATTAAGATTTTTGGTCATACATCCAAGAGCATCCCATATTACTTTTAATTTGAGGATTTGTTTTCTTCCTTTAAATTTTTGCTTATTACATTTCTGGTTGTCAATTTAGGTGGTTCATGCCAGTCAATATCCTTGGAACATTTATGATAGGCTCAGCCTTAGGATGGATCCTTATCAAACTCACAAAGCCTCCAAGACACTTAGAAGGTCTAATATTGGGTGTCTGTTCTGCAGGTAGATCACTTGAAAAAATAATTGGATGCAGGAAGCCAAGCATGTAGTCTGTGTTATGCTTTCTCCTAAATTCTGTTTATACTTAATACCAAAGACTATATAACCTATAGCTCAGTTAGCAACTGAGTGTTCAAGGGTTTGCTTTTATCAAGGTTCGTTAAAGCAAATTTTTGAAATTTTTTGAGGTCAAAAGGAAATCACCTTCCCTTCAGAGGAGGATTAGACTCACCCTTTCTCTGGTGTCAGTGGTCAAATTCACCCTCTATTTCAATGTAGAGCTAGCCTTATTGGCTATACTCCAAGAACAAGGTGGCCGAAGGAGATTGTGTGAGGATATCTTCGGGTTATCTACCCAAAAAAGAAAAGAAAAAAAGACTGTATACATTGTATTTACTAATTTTGCAAACAAAGCAACTGTGCAATAATTTGGAAGTTACACAAAAACTACCAAAAGATCTTACTTCTTGCACATGTCCTGTCCTGCAGCCTGAATTATGCTTGAAATATATCATCTTTCATCCGAGCTTCAAGCTGTAGCATCGGTTCTTGGCTGATGCATCTTTTGCTTGAGCTTATCTTTTAGATTATTGATATGAACAGGAAATTTAGGAAACTTGCCTCTAATCATTATCCCGGCTATATGTAAAGACAAAGGTAGTCCTTTTGGAGATCCTGATATCTGCAATCAATATGGATTGGCTTATGCTTCACTTTCTATGGCAGTATGTAACTTCATTAGCTCCTCTCATATTAATTCTGAAGTTACAATTATAGATATTAATGTGCAGTTATCCAACCAAAAACTGAAAGAAAATCATTAATTTGGTCCTAATTGTTTCTTTTTTGTTTTCTGAACTGATATTCATTGGGGAAATTGTAGATTGGAGCTATTTATATATGGACTTATGTTTACAACATAATGCGGATTTCCTCAAGTAAAGTCCACAAAGAAGGTAATAAAAGTAGTGACTCCATCAAATTGGAGGGTTCAGGGGAGATATCAGAATCACTCCCAGAGAAAGGCTCAGAACCCCTAAATCAAGCAAAAGACAACGTGGATGATGCATACACCCTACTGCTTTCTTCGAATGAATCTGAGGAGAAAGTGAAGGTTGCTACAAACTTCCCTTTCAAAAGATATTTTATACTTATCAAAGGGAGATTATAATTTTGGAACAGTTTTTTTTACGCATATTCTATATTTAGAAAATTGAACAAGAAAGAACCAACTTATGCTTATTTCAGAAATTTCATTTTAACTATAAAATATTAGCATGCTAGGTTCCTGTATCACACAGACTATACAGTAAAGGGAGAAAGTCAAATTCTTGCTTCTAACTTTCCTTTTTCTTCAACCAGCATAATATATAGGTATACATTATACAATGAGTTCAAATTGAACATAAACAGCAGCTTTTGGAGCATAATAACAATACAATTGTAGATGAACTCCTAGTCCTGAATGAGTTGTCTAAAATTGCAGAATATTTGCATTGGTTATCTTGAATTTATTTGCAAAGAATCATTTCAACCCAAAAACTTAAGCTTGTAAGTGAAGATTCATCAATTACTTTTATATTATATCTTTCTAACACACCTCCTCGTGCAAGAGCATTTTGGACTTGAAGCATGGATATTGCATAAGTCCATTTTTTTTGTTCTGCCTTATGCTTACTTAATTGTACTAGAAAGTGAGATAGTAAGGATCGAACTCATAATAATGGAGGTTCTGATAGCATGTAAAAAAATAATTCAAGCTCAAAAACTTAGAAGCGAAGGTCATCAATAATTTTTATATTATATCTCTTTCACAGTTTTTGTTGAGCTCATGATTCTAAAATTCATCTGAGCTTCTTTCATATTCAAGAATATTACCTATAAATTATACAGGCAGCACTCAGAGCAGTAAAGCTCCATATGAGAGTTATACAATCTTATAGTCTTGGTTCTTTTCATTTGTTGTAATTCCAAAATGTTTTGGCGGGTTTCATTGCAGGTAACAATGTCAGATAAAATTAAGCACCATTTGGGAATGATTTTTGGCAACTCCAATTTCAGAGCCATATTTTCGCCATCAACTCTTGGAGCGGTATGATACAGTGTTCATTTCCTTGGAAATCTAGAGACCTTATTTCCCTGTGTGCGAGACCATATTCATCTATGAATCCCCCAAGTGAAAGATAATTTTTATTTTTATGCAGATTGTTGGCTTTGTTATTGGTGTAGTTCCCCAGGTACGTAATTTCATGATTGGAAACAATGCTCCACTTCATGTGATTGACGACTCTGTTAACATGCTGGGGTATGTATGCATCTCAAAACTTCAAGATTTTGAAAGTACATGCAGTGAAAAGAAGTTTTATTTCCTTACATTGTCTTATTACATGCAGTGAGGCAGCCATTCCAACTATAACCCTTATAATGGGTGCAAACCTCTTAAGAGGTAATGTAGTTTCTTATAAAGTCATGCTTAATTTTTTATTTTATTTTTCTCTTTGATGGTTTATAAGTTAATTTCTTTAATGGATGAATGGACCAGGCTTGAAGGGAGCAAGTACTCCAGTTTGGACAATTATAGGAATTATAGGAGTTCGATATATTTTGCTACCAATTTTTGGTGTTCTAATTATTAAAGGGGCAACACACTTGGGTTTGGTGCAATTAGATCCCTTATATCAGTTTATGCTTCTTCTTCAATATGCACTTCCACCAGCTATGAATATAGGTACTAATTAATTAGTTAGTCTTAGTAGATAATGAAGTGGATATATATAACTTATTCCAACTTTACTTCACTCTAAATTTCTTTCTCAGGAACCATAACCCAATTGTTCGGAGTTGGGGAAAGTGAATGTTCTGTTATCATGCTATGGACATATGCTTTGGCTTCAGTTGCAGTTACTCTTTGGTCAACCTACTTCTTGTGGCTTGTGTCTTGATTTTCTTCATTCATTTCTATGATGATTATTTCTTTTTTTATTAATATTTTATTTTATTTTACCTCAAGTTCTCTCATTTCAGCCAGGGGTGGAATTACCTATAGTATATACGTATGTAATGTAACTTAAACAAGCTTCCTCAGATAGATCAAAATCTGTAACTTTTTAAACTGTTTTACAGAATATTTGTTAAGTGTGTATGTATCAGACCATGTTTCATTTTATCATTGGATACGCTATTTTCGTAATGTGTTGACTTAGGGATTGTTTGCTGTGATGTATAAGGCCTGATAGCATAAGTTTATATTATACGTTATGATATTTTTAGTTGTTTGATATGATCATCGTATAGTATAAGCTCATACAACATGATCTCTTTATATATCAAAATGATGTATAACTTATTTAGACTTAGGAGAGTAGCATTAAGCCTGATAAGGGGTTATGTATTACCTAATACAATTCTCAAGAATTAATACATTATTTTATTAGTGGATTCGCTTTTTCTGCAGATAAGTTATCTGATCTGCAGTAAGTCCAAAACGATCTCGTTTTGGGGCGGAAATCATGGTGTTTTTGTAATTTTAATTTATTTCAAGGTTATAATAGTCTTTATATTTACAATTTTTTAAGATTTCAATACCAAAACGACGTCATTTTGAAAATAAATGCAGATAACTTATTTGCAGCAAAAATATTTTTTTCTATTTTAATATTAGTATATTAAAATAAAAAATAATTTTTCAATATATAATTTTTTAAAATATTGGAGATTTTTATTTTTATAAAAATTAATATAATTTTTGGACACATTGATCAACATATTTCTATAGAAAATAATATCATCTGATATATTTGGAAGAATTATGTAAATTCATTATTAAAATGTATTTTTGACAAAAATATTTATTTTTAACCTATCTAGTATTATACAGTGTATTACTAAACATTGGATGATATTATCTTATACAATATCATGCCAAATGCTAGATAGTATTAAAATTTAATCAGGTCTTATGCAATTATGTCTTATATTATCATGTTTTATACTATACTATAGGTCCTATACTATCGTTAATACATCATAATTCTTTTTTGGTTCTGATTTTAAATAATACAATAAAAAGTACAACTATGTTTGTATATGAAAAGACCAACAATAATTGCTTTTAAAATTTATTATTTATATTTTTAAAAATTTATATTAATTGTATCCTATTATTGATTCAAATTCCTTTCTGTTCAAAGTCCCATGTAATTATTGACATACAAAAAACTATTTTTGTTGTCCATCGAATTTATTTTAAAAACTTAAAAAAAGATTTGATGAATTTTTCAATAATTTTTTTTTGAGTTTTCACCATAAACAATTTTAAAGGACATGATTTTTATTTTAAATAAAATGATTATGTTGTAGTATTTATTTATTGATTTTTTATATTTTTTCTAACAAAATTAGAAAGAGAAAAAATTTAAAAAATTAATAAATATGCACAAAACACTGTAATTTAACTTAAAATGACATAAAATTATCAAAATAACAAATATTTTTCTCATTCTTAAGATAAAAACAAAATAAAAATGATGTACTATTTTTGTAATTGTTCATAAAACATATTAGTTGAAAATAAAAATAAAAAATAACTTAACACACTGAGCTTATACAATAAAACTATCACTATAGCACCACTAGGGTTAGCCTAGTGGTGTCGGGTGTGTGTATTAGGAGTGTGTGTAGTGTATGGTGTTATGTTCAATTCCTTGTAACCTCCAAAAAAAATAAAACTATCACTATTACAAACTTTAAATAAAAATAAAAATAAAAAGGGGTGGTTATCCTTTCTTTCAGTTTAGATTTATCACTCTTACTACCAGTTTGATTGTTGTTGGATCGATTTAAAATCAACGGTTAAAAAAAAAGAAAAAACTAATATTGATTTCAAGTTGATCCAACGGTAACCAAATAAGTAGTAAACCTAAAATAGTAGTAAGTATAATCTTACCAATAAAAAATAGGATTTTATACTTTTCATGATGTAACATGAGAAGAGAAATTTTTCAACGTATCATTCGATTTTCATACTAACATAAGTTCAATAGTTGATTTTTTCTAACATATATGTTTCATATGACTTTTGTCTCTATGACATAAGAATGCTCATTTCATTCATGTAACATGAGAAGTATAAAATCCTAAAAAATAACCTGGTAACTTCTTAAGTAAGGACTTATATCCAACTACTTGTAATTTGAATTTGGGAATGAAAAGTTTGTGGTATACCAAAATCCTTACTCAAATCTAGTTTCTTTTCTCGTCTCTTTTTCTGTTTTTTAATTAAAAACTAGCCCTTTAGTATAATAGTTACTAAGTTAAAAAGAAGTCTTTTATTTTTATTTGATAAAAGAAGTCTTTATCAATTAAAAATCAAATATTTTTACTAAATTAATAATATTTTATTAAAAATAAAAAAGGATAATTTAATTCTCTGCATTGAGTCGGTTTTATAAAAAATTGCAATTTTTAAATTTATTTAAAAAATAATTTAACTCTTAAATTAGTTAAAAATATGATTATTTATAGTATAGTTTGATTTGTTACTGATTAAGTTTGATTTATAAGGTGAGATATCATTTTGTAGTTGTAGTTTGAACTGTCTTATGGTTGGTTAACGAAATTCATTTGCTGATCAACATTTCACACTGTGGAATAAATCTTTAATGTTGCGGTAGCACCGGAGATTCAGTATTACTATCATTTATTTTGTAAGAGCTATGATTCTTTGGTATTGGTGTCAAATTTAAAGTTTGACATCTCATATAAGAGTTGATCCTTTTAATCTAACAGCTCTTAGATGAGGTGTCAATTTTAGCTCTTAAATGAGATGTCAAATTTTAAATTTGATACTAGAGCCAAAGTATCCTACCTCATTTTGTAACATATAGACAAAAAAATATTATATCATTGTTTTAGCTGTCATTTAATCTTCCTTAATTTATTCCACACTTTGTTGTAGGGGTGTTCAATAACCGATTCAAATCGCGGTGACCGAATCGATAACCGAATAAATCGAAAAAAAAACTGTAAATTTTAATTGGATTAGATCGGTTTTCTGATTGGTTGATGAAAATCGATTCAATCCAAACCGATCCAATATATTAATTCCCCTCTACCTGGTCTTTCCCCAATCATAGCTCAAAAATATTTAAACCCAAGATTCATTAACCCATCAACTAAACCCAAGAAAAAATATAGTCACATCTTATCAATAAAATTTTATCTGTGTAGAGCTTCGTATCTCTTTCCAAAAAAAAAAAACTATATTATCATTTATTGATGCTTTTGTATTTCAAAAAAAAAAAAAATTTACAAAGCCAATATGTACGAAAGATATTATTTGCACAATAATCATGAAACAAATTTTAGGATTTTCAAAAAGCCGAAAACTAATTCAACCCAAACCAAAAAATTTGGATTATATAGGATCAGATTAAATCAGATAATTTTTGCTTTCAAAATCGATCCAATACAGACCATGAACATCCCTACTTTGCTGCATGATTTGCAGCATAAATGGTTAAGAGAGTTTGCAGGTAAACTCATGATTGTTAAAATCTCGATTTATCACTGCGATTTTACATTTTTATGATTTTTTTTAATCAAAATGATTTTACCAATATTCCAAACGCTTTTACGATTTTTTAACTGCCTTCCGATTTTACTTAAAATTTCGATTGTAACAATCTTGAGTAAACCCACTCGTCTATGTTATACTCAAAATTAAGGCTCATCATTTTTTTTTCTTTTAATATTTTTAATTTAAAAATCTATAATTTTTTTTAAGAAAGTTAAATTAATTATAAAAAGCCATTTTTTAAAATACTTTTTTATAGTTAAAAAGTAGTTTTTTATTTAATGAAATAAAATATTACAAAATTATTATTAAGTTTATGCAGCCTCATCCAAATAAGTAAGCAAAACACTGAAAAACCCATAGACTAAGATAAAAGCAAAGCCAAATCATCGTCTTCCTCGCTTACGCTAACAACTTTTTCGCTTCTTCTTCTTCTTCTTCTTCTTCAAATCTCTCTCTCTCTCTCTCTCTCTCTCTCTCTCTCTCTCTCTCTTCAACTTTTGAATTGTACCACTCGAATCAGTAAATGTTGTCTCTCATTGTGTCTAACTCAAACTCTGCCAAAACCCAACTCTGCTTCCACCCAATACTAAGTAGTGTATTAAAATCTTGCTTCTCTCTCTTCACTTTCATTTAACTTCAACAACTAATACTTCTTTTCCTTTCCAAGATCCGGGTTTGCCCTTTTCATTTTTTTTATAATTTTTATGTTTTTAATCGTTATTTTTTTTTTTTTTTTAATAATTCGTCTCCAGCAGGTTCGTACCGATTTCATTTGGGCATTCTTCTTTTTCCTATTCTAATGCTGCATTCATTTCCATTTGTGATGGTATCATTGAGCTGAAACTTTATCATTCATGCTCATGAATGATGATAATGATGATGATGGATTACTACTTCTTTTTTTTTCGTTTCTGTTGTATTTAATCATTTGAGCCCTTTTGGTTTTCCCACCTTAACTCCCTAAATTTTCAACAAAGATCGTGTCTTTATGAGACGTTGATGCTATTTTGATTATTGGGTTTTCTGTAAAATGGAGTTTGAACCTCTGAGTCTAAGCAACGAGATCATTGAATTTGATATGATTGGTTTGGGGGATGATGCTGCTATTGATATTGAGCATGCTGTGGAAGAAGATGATGACCTTGTTAATGTTGACAATGGTCCTGCTGCTGTTACTTCTATTACCAGTTTAGCTGCTACTACGGGACCTCACATCCCTGGAGGGGACACAAATCTTGAACCTTATCAGGGTATGGAATTTGAATCAGAAGAGGCTGCTAAGGCCTTTTATAATTCCTATGCACGCCGTGTTGGCTTCAGTACACGGGTGAGCATGTCTCGCCGCTCCAGGCGTGATGGTGCTATAATTCAGAGGTCTTTTGTGTGTGCCAAGGAAGGTTTTCGTGTGGAGAAAGAGAGGAATTCTCTAGATGGAAGAATCAAGCGGCCTCGTGCCGAAACCCGTGTTGGTTGCAAGGCCATGTTGGTTGTGAAAATTCAAGATTCTGGCAGATGGGTTGTTTCTTCCTTTGTCAAGGAACACAACCATGAATTGGTTCCACCTGACAAGGTGCATTGCCTTCGCTCTCACCGCCATGTTTCAGGTCCAGCTAAGTCGTTGATTGATACTTTGCAGGGTGCTGGCATAGGGCCCAGCGGAATTATGTCTGCTCTTATCAAAGAATATGGTGGAATTAGCAATATTGGTTTCACTGAGCGTGACTGTAGGAATTATATGAGGAGCAGTAGACAAAGGACCCTTGGAGGTGATACTCAAATCCTCTTGGATTATTTGAAGAGCAAACAAGCAGAGAATCCCTCATTTTTCTATGCTGTGCAGGGTGATGAAGATCATTGCATGAGTAATATCTTCTGGGTTGATCCTAAGGCCAGGACTAACTACACTTACTTTGGTGACACTGTCACCTTTGACACAACATATAGGTCTAACCGCTATAGATTGCCTTTTGCACCTTTCACTGGAGTTAATCATCATGGACAGCCTGTATTATTTGGTTGTGCTCTCTTGATAAATGAATCCGAGGCATCTTTTGTATGGCTGTTCAAAACCTGGCTTGAAGCAATGTCAGGGCAACATCCAGTTTCAATTACTACTGATCATGATAGGGTGATTCGCGTAGCCATCAACAATGTCTTTCCTGATACCCGTCACCGATTTTGCAAGTGGCACATTTTTAAAGAATGCCAAGAGAAGTTGTCTCATGTACTTTCTGAACACCATGATTTTGAAGCTAACCTCCATAAATGTGTTAACCTGACAGAGTCTATTGAGGAGTTTGAGTCTTGTTGGTCCTCTCTAATTGATAGGTATGATCTTAGAGAACATGAATGGCTCCAAGCAATTTATGGTGATAGGAGGCAGTGGGTTCCAGTGTACTTGAGGGACACATTTTTTGCAGAAATGTCAATAACACAACGAAGTGATAGCATAAACTCTTACTTTGACGGATATATTAATGCATCAACGACACTTCAGCTTTTTGTTAAGCAGTATGAGAAGGCTCTGGAAAGCCGTTTTGAGAAAGAAGTCAAAGCTGATTATGACACAATAAACACTGCCCCAGTTCTGAAGACTCCATCACCTATGGAGAAACAGGCAGCTGGAGTTTACACAAGGAGATTGTTCACCAAATTTCAAGAAGAGTTGTTTGAGACATTAACTTTCTTGGCAAACAAAGTAGATGAAGAAGAAATGATTCCTGTGTATAGGGTAGCCAAATATGGGGAAATTCATAGGGCCTACTTTGTCAGATTTAACATTTTCGAGATGAAAGCTACTTGTAGTTGCCAGATGTTTGAGTTTTCTGGTCTAGTTTGTAGACATATATTGACTGTTTTTAGGGTGACAAATATTCTTACACTGCCACCTCATTATATTTTAAAAAGATGGAGCAGGAATGCTAAGAGTGGTGTCATGTTGGATGAACGTACTACTGATTTGTTAAATGGTGCACAAGAATCTATAACTATCCGATACAATAATCTTCGTCATGAGGCCCTTAAGTATGTTGATGAGGGAGTAAACTCTCCAAAAGTTTATGATGTGGCTATGACTGCTCTTCAGGAGGCTGCAAATAAAGTGGTACTTGCAACAAAAAATGGTGGAAGACTGGTTATTTTGAATGGAACTTGTAAAGATGACCTTCATCAGAGCAACGAAGCAACTACAAGTCGCAGTGATCATCAATTTGGTTCAGAACAATCTTCATCTAAGGTCTGTTTTCTTGGTAATTTATGATGGCAGTTTCCTCCTGCAGCAATATTTCTGTCCTTTTATTGTTCATAAAGTTTTGGATGTGCTAATCATATATTTTTTTAATAGTTCTAGTTTTGTATTATTACGTTCATTCCATGTCTAAAGGAAAATGGTTTATAAGAATAGGACCATAACTTTTTTACCATTTTATTTAAAAGAAGGAAAAAAAGCCCTACCCTTCCTCTCCCTTAAGAAATTGTAAACTTTGTTTCTTAAAGCTAGTTCATGAACCAAAAAATCTGATATGGTAACATGGTGTAAATTAACAACTCTCTCTCTCTCTCTAAATAAGTATTATATGATTTTCTTTTTTAAGACATTTTTTATGTTATGAGCTGGGATTAGATATTTTATAGTTTCCATTGTACTAATCATTGAGATTTTGATACAAAATTTTTATGGACACCATTTCTGGTTGCGATTTTATTTAAAAATGATCGTACCGTTTAATTGTTAACCACATTTTGATTTAGTCTACCACTCTATATTTTTATACGACTGTCTCCCTGTACATTTTGGAGAGGTTCTATCTCAAAACTATCCTTAAGTAGATTGGTGAACGAACTTACTATGTGACGTAGTTCAACAATCCATCAAGTTCCCCAAGGCATTTAATTAATTCTTCCACATATATTTGGATTGTTTCATTTTATTTTTTAAAAATAATCATTATGATCTTGTTCCTGAATTTTATTGGTTTTATTGTTTACACATCTGCTATCTTGTGCTACTTTCATGCTAGTTAGAATTGCTAAACCCTTTCAGCTGATTTGTTGTCGAATTTTCTCAAAAATAACTTACTCTGGAACTTTTGAGTACATAATATGATGATTGTAGCACAAAAATTAGCATATATACTGTATTAGATGTTCGACAAAGAGAGTTCTGATACCTATCGATGTGAAGAATACAATGAAATAGAAGAAGAAAAAAGGGGTTGGGGAAGGAAGAGAAAGTCTGAAGAGTACAAAGACATCGTTATGTAACCTAAGATTGACTTAGAAATATCCATGTGTGCTTGCGTGTGTCATTTTAGGCTTTTAGGTTTATTCCATAGTTTAGGGCTTTTCAATAATTGTCAGATATTTACTATTTTTGTTATTTCTTTGATTCTGTTTGAGTGTGGATTGATTTGTGCGATATATCTTTTGATTATGCATAATCCCTTTAGACTCTGTTTGAGTTTTATTTTTATTTTATTTTGTTCTGCCTATTTAAGGCATGGAGAACCCTATTGTTATTTGGTAGTTTTTTGGTTAAATAAAATTTAAAAAAGAGAAACAGTTTTTTCTCGCAATCCTTGTGTTCAATCTTTCTTTCTGTTTAGCTAATGGGTTACTGCTTCGGCATTACATCGGTATCTCAAGAGAGTTATGAAATTTTTATTCAAAACTCAATCATTACATGTGAAAATCACTCCATAATGCAACTCAGAGTAACTCTTGTTAATTCTGATTCTACTAGGAGAAGGCATCTTGAATCCACTTCAAACAAAATCCTAATGAAACTAAATTCCTTTACTGATGATGTAAATCACATAGTACATCTTCATTAAATTTGAAATACTTGATGCCAAATTTCCAGTAACTTCAATTATAAAATCAGAGTACCATGTTTTTTTATAATCCAAGAAAAAGAAAATTAGAAAGATTACAAGGAGCAATAATGAATCCATTTTACTCCTGTCGATTTGATAATTTTGGTCATGAACAATGCTAGACAGAGTGCAATAATATAATTTGTAATGGATGGTTCAAGATCAGGAGCAAATATGTAGAATTAAAAGCAGTGGGAGACTAGAGTTTGTTGAAAGAAGTTGACAGCTTGGAGCTGATGCAGATGTTCGGGGGTGGTAGTGGATTAAAGGTGTAAAATGAGAGTCCTGAATGACTGGTTTAGAATGTTTTTGAAGACCATGGGATTTCAGCAATCAAGCAACTGTCTGTTATGATTTCAGACAAGATGGCCAAGCAAGCAAAAGAAAAGATGCTATAAAATTGCTGGATGAACAGAAGACAGGGTTTTATTTATCGGGTTTTTGGAAAATAATGAGACAAATTATAGAGTGGTTATTATGAGCGTTTAACGTGTTAGATCTAGAGTTACCATTCTTGTTGCTGGAAGTGATATAATAGATATTTTGACCACTTCTGCCACCATCACTGTTTCATGTATACAAGTCTACATTGTTGATAATAGTTCTTAAAAATAGCATAGATTTAAAATTGTCCAAGAATTTTACTTTGTCACTTATCGTTATGAATCTTATTAAACTTGTTATATGATAAGCAGAGGGAGTACACAGGTCTCTGGAGCTTATTATTATTACTTTTATATGAAAAAATAACTATGCTTTTGTTTTCCTTTGTTTTTAGGAGGACTCTTGGTCTTCCTTCCTTGTATCGGTAGTCTTCTTTTACAAAAATATATTGATATCAAATTCTTGAGTTTAATATTCAGGGTGGGGCCCCTGTAATTTGGGATTCTTCAAACTGAATGGAACCTAGTAGGGCCTTATCCATTCCCATTTTCTTCTTTTGTTCTGTTACTAATGATGTATGTTACTTTATTGTAGGATGACCAGGACAGAACAATTGAGAAGTTGACACGTCAACTTGACCGAGCTCGAAGGAAGTGTGAAGTTTATAGGTCCAACTTGCTGTTAATTTTAAAAGACATTGAAGAGCAGAATCTAGAATTATCAGTTAAAGTTCAAAATATCAAGTTAGGTATGAAAGATTGATATATGATTGCCATTGATGGAGTTTATGCCTGTGTAAGTTAACCCTCTTGCAAAGCATTTTAGTAGGTATGCCGAGTAAGGAAGTTCGGAAGCCGCCAAGAGTGAATGCCTAACCAGTTTTAAACTTGTTTCCATATGCTGTACTCGTCAGGGTATGATTCATTTTACTTCTAGCAGTTTCGTACAAATGAAAAAACATACATAGTTAGGAGAGACATCTTGAAACGCCTCATTACCAATTGTAGAAAATGACATGATAACTTGGAAGTAGAAGCAGCGGCGTTTAGCGTAACTACAGTCCTTTCTATTTTTATTTTGTTTTGACAAAAGAAAAAGTTTGAACTTTCAATTATCCATTCTCAAGCAAGAAGCTGGTTTGTAGTGATCAAGGACAAAATGATTAAGGGCAAAAGGCATTAAGGAGGCAATGATTTGTTTAGACGGGATGATCCTGGCATTTGGGCTTTTGCACAACCTTCAAAAAAATGGATCAAAAGTACTATGCCACCTAACGAGATCGCGTAAGAATTCATAACCTTAAAAAAATAAAAATAAAAAAATAAAATCACAAAACTACTTGCCAAGAAGTGAATGACTTAACATTGTCCTTGTTTGCATGCAGCCAGCAATGCTGTCATATTATCCTTTAAATATCAATTTGCTATTGATTTTATTTTTAAAGTAACAGCAAATTAATTTTTTTAAAATTACTTGCATTAATTATCATTGCAAAATTAACTCGATATTTTCAATAACGAAAGAATCAGTGTCACTCAACATGTACCGAAATTGACGGCAACATCATCATCATTATATTATTGTATTCAGCGTGATAGGGTGGCAAAGAATCTTGCAGAGAATGATTTTAAATATACAAGACAAATAAAATCAGAAATGAATCCATTCAAAAGAAAGTAACATCTATTGAGAAAAATGGTAAAATTGCACTTAAGGGGATTTGACCATGTGAAGAGAAGACTAATCGAAGTCCCAATAAAAAAGCATATCAGATAGTGGATAATCCAACAGTTAAAGGCAAAAAAAAAAAAAAAAAACCAGGAAAAAACTCTAGATGGCATTTAAACGAATTTTTTGAAGACTTGTTCCTGACACGACATAATAGTTGATCCATGTAACTAACTACCTGCCTAGAGGAAATAGATTGGTTATTATTGGACTATTGTTATTGTGCTGGCTGTGGCAGAGGTTCCCAGAAGATAAATACAACACTCCACCTGAAGAGGCTAGACATAAATGTGCCCCATGAACTAAAATATATAATTTATATTGAAAAAATAATATATAAACCTAACGAAAGATGGCTACCACCTCATTTCTCATTATAACTCTATTCCATTACCCGGGGGTGATATTTAGTCTTACTACAGACAATTCATAGCCTAAATTACATTCACCAACCCCATCCCCAAACAAAGATATAGAAAGTAAATAAATAAACCAATGAAAATATGGGACGATATTAAGGCCTTATCAAACAATTCTTAACTCTAGGTTTGGATAGCCAGCCCGAGCCTTGTGCCTTTCGAAGAGATCTTGAAGTGCATCCACAAACTGACTATGTATCTTGGCAACCTAAAAGCAGGTTAAAATAGTGAAAGAGGTCAGAATTTTAGCCAGCTGTTCCCCAACATTTGCATATATCTATCACATAGTAACGAGAATTTCCGTCCAGAACAATTCATCATATAATGCTAATCTCGGGTCATCATATTTACATACTGGTATTAAGACTTATGCAAGTATATTGCATGCTACTCAAACACTTTAGCTAAGGATAAGACAGGATAATGATCAAACCAGATGGAAGTTTCTTATTACTCCAAAGTCTCTTTATTTCCATCTTAGCAATTAGTTAAAACCTCAATGCTTCCCCAGCTTTGCAAGGAGGAAGGGTGAGGGTCAATTGTAAACAATCTTATCCTTGTATTTTTGCAAAGAGACTATATTTCAGACTCGAATCTGTGACCTTTTGATCACAAATGAATAATCTTATAACTTTTCCAAGACTCACCCTCATTTTAGCAAAAGTTAACGAGAAACAAAATTTCAAGAGGCATTTTAACTTAGGAGAGGCTGAAAATGACTGGATCCTTGTGAATCCTAATTAACATAAAGGCATACCTCCTCCGTGGTTGGTTCAGGATTTTTGTCGAGCTCAATTGGTCTACCCACTACCACATGCATTGAATGTCTGAACGGTATCGGGGATCTGAAAAGGAGTGGAGATGATCTGCTTTAGAAAAAATAGTTCCAGAGAACAGCAACTTCCATGCTGACTAGTTTAGACTATATACTTGTGCAACAATAATTGGCTACTCTCCTCAGATCAATTATTCAACGCAGTCGAAGTATCTTCAATATAGAATAAATACTACCTTAAAAAAAAGGAGCTCGCGACTTACTATCACTAAAAGCTGATTGGAAAAGGCATACGTTCTGTACAGCATGAAATGAATGCACCTTTTCCAATCACATTTCTCAGCAAATATTTTAATCTTAATTCCAACAAAACTTGACCTATGCATTTACACTATTGTTTCCATATTTCACGCCAATTCCTTTTGTTGTCAAAAAGTGTGGGTGTGTGTGGCGTTTTCAATGGGGAATGCATGGTTTCACGTTTTAAAAATGGTTTCTAATATTGTTCCATCCCCTTCAATTTATTCGATTTAACAGCCTCGACTTCAGGCATAAAATATTAGTTAGCTTCCTTCATCGTTGAAGAACCCTTAGCAATTTTGTTAGAGAAAATTCAGGCGTAATGAGAAGGGAAGGATGCATGTTGACATGTAAAAGAAAGACGCACCCGAAAACTCCCCAAAAATAAATTGGGGTGAATTTGATAGCCCTCGCAAATTTCAGAAAGAACTTCCCGCCTGGTTTCCACCACTTATAGACATCTGACTATAGCAAAGTTACACCAAAAAGGATAGTTAACTTCACCTTGTATTGTATGAGCAAGAAAATGAATAACATTAAGAGGGACATTAACAGACAAGGAAGTGACAACCAGGTACATTTTAGAGTAAAAGTTTTATGAAGCTGATATGTGTGGTCAAGTAAAAGGTGCAAGGTTTCCACATGAATGTAAGAGATTGGGACAAGAAATGAGTACCTGACCAAAGCAGAAAACTGGAACCAAGGGTTGGCCCTTCTCCATTGCTATGCGGACAAATCCTCTTCTTGCCTTAAGGAAAGCAGTCTACAAAGTAAATAGTTCAAATTATACAGTTAACCTCTATGATATACAGTGAACAGAGTGATGTCATTCTTGAAAGACCCATTTTATGGGAGAGACCTCTTCTTCCTATAAATAGGAACAGTATAAAAAGATTCAATCCAATGCAGAACCAAAGCTTCTCAACAGTATCTGTTTAATAGACAAACCATACTTGGAGGGGGCTAGATAACGAAAATTGTTTGTTTACTTTGTGTATTGATATTTGTGCATTAGTCACAATTTTAGCTCTACACACCAGACACAACTCAACCGTGATTGGCATGTAGGTGTGCTGGAAATACAATATAGTAGGCTGAATGATTTCTGCTTTTTGATCCTTAGACTCAGATTATACAAATGAAGTAAAGAACAATGTATCGCTTTCCTCTTTCTTAGTCTAAATTCAAAATAGATACAAAATATAATAGGGAAAAAACTAATATACTATTGAAATTTGAACCATACGCAATTCGTAATTGAGCTCAACTTCTTGCATGGCTAGGAAAATTGCCTGCACCAACGTATTATTAAACTTGGCAACAGTAATAATCCTAAATGTAGAGAAAATTATAATAGCCCTAACCTAATTAATTAGCAAATTACATGTAATTAAATAATTAAGCATGTTTTAGTGAGTAAAATTAAGTATAAGTCTTAATTAAGTGAGATGGGGTCAATTCTGAGTTAAAAAGTGTACTCAGTGAAAATTAAGAGGTATAAATGGGTACAGTCAAAAGTGCCCAAAATATAAAAATAAAAATGAAAATATTCCTAGAATAATATTCCAGACTTTTGGGTGAAGTTTGATAATTATTAGAGTTAAATAGATAGATGAACCAATGCCCACTTGATTCCACTTAACCTATGTTAAGTCATAAAACACAAAAAGGAACCCATTCCCCACCCCTTGCCCATCGAACAGCCAGAGAAAGGAAGGAAGAAGAAGAAAAAGAAGAAGAAGAGAGGGAGAGGGAGAGAGAACCCTAGAGTGAGCAAATCTTAACCGATTGGAGTGATTCAAAAGCCTAAACCACCTAGAATCTTCTCCTCTTTCATAATCCTAGCTTGGTTTTGAATGGGAGTCCTTGTGGAGAGAGATATTGGCCCCCAAAGATTCTCCCCTTTTGAGAAGTGTGGGGTTTTGGGAGTTTCTACCTCCATGGAAGCTTGAGGAACGCTTATTCCTCTATTGTGTGATCATTGGTGGTAAGTTTCCATTCTCTTTCACATGATTCTTGGAGATTTGCATGAGTTTAGGGTTTATAAATAGTGAATTGGGGGTTTTTATGAAGTGATTAAATTAGCTATGTTCTAAGAAGAATGGAGCTTAGTGTATGTTATGAAAAAAGCTAAGACTGACATTTAATCGGTGAAAATGAGCCTAGTAGTTAAATGACTATACTTGGTATATTGCAAGATTATCATGCTTGTTGATGAGTATTCTCGCAATGTTGAGTTATGGTGTGGTTGATTGGTTATTGATTGTGCCTATATGGTGGTTAGGATTGAGGCAATCGGACCAACCGTGATAGACCAACCATTGGAGCAAGGAATGGAGTTGGATTAGCTCCTTGAACTAGGTAAGTTCATACCTTGTGGTTGATGAGTTCTATAAGTAGTTGATAGTAATGAAGTATTATTGATGCAATGTGTTGAATTGCATTACATTGTGTGTAGGTGTTGGTAATTGAAGTAGATAATTGTAGAGATTGGTGAAAGAACAAAGGTTCATTGGAAGCTTGAGGTAAGCCTTCGGACCTTGGGTGTAATTCCCTTAATTGTTCCACCAAGCCCGGAAGGGGTAATGGTTGTTATGTGTATATAAATGCAATGAAATAGTGTAATGCTTTGTTATACGTATGTGTATGCATTTGGTGTGGCATAGGATGGTGTTTCCCTATGTTGGTATGTTGCATGACGATGTGTAAATCATACTTGGTAGTTTAGCTGGCCAGTAGGACTATTTGCATCTGAGTATCCTTAGGACGGTTTGAGGGCTCGAGGTATTTCTCCTGAAGATGTTGTTCACACATTGCATAGATATGTATTTACTGCATTATTATTGTTATTGCTATTACACTGATATGGAACTGTGGGGTGGAGAGATGCTCCAAGGACCCCTGGTTTACTGGATATATTCGTATATCTCATCCCGTGTTGTGGGGACCCCCTTTCAGGTAAGGATGCTGCAGGAGCCACCAGTGGCAAGTGGCCATACTTGGACTAGTAGTGATGCATGAGGATCCTGTATTTTGATATTATACATGTTATTTTGTAGCTCACATGTATAGGATTGTAATTAATAGACAATTAATAGATGTATGTTCTGTTTATTTGGAATGGACTTAGCCTATGCTCATGCCTTTGGTTATCTCTTTGTTGATGGGAGCCAAGGGAGTGATCATAGCGTTTTGTAAGCTAAGTTCCATGAATTGTAATGAACATGATTTGTAATTGATGAGTACTTTAAGTTTATTATATGTATGCTCATTAAGTATTGGATTGTTGAACTGGAAACTAAATTAGGTACCTAGTGCTAAATTGGGAAGTGTTGAGAAAACAAAAACATCTTGTCCAGTTGACCAATTTTCATACCCAATGTGATGGAATTGGACTTTGATGTCTCTATGGAAGTTGTAGACATTTCTCTTAGCTTTCCATACAGACCAAAATGGTGTAATTTGAGTGAGTATAGCTCAAGTCATGAGTGAAAAACCATAGGTAGGTTAAATGACCTTGTTTTGGGTCACCCAGCCCTGTGGATGGCGCCTGGGGCGCCAGATTCACGCTTGGGGCGCCAAATTACAGAACCAGACAGTACCATCCACGCTGAGGGCGCCACTCCCACGCTGGGGGCGCCAACTTTCTGTTTTCCCACGCTCTGGGCGTGGATCCCACGCTACGGGCGCGGGGTCTTGGAGATTTTGCACCCTTTTTCTTAGAAAATGCATAACTTTGGTTACGGTGCTCCGATTTGAGCGCGGTTTGAACCCACGCGTAGCTAATGAAAAATCCTATAACATAGTAGAAGATGGGAATCATAAAAGGAGTTTAGAATTAATTTGATAATTAAAGAGATGAAGACATTTAACGACGTATTGTCAAGTAGAATGGGAATATAATATTAAGTTTAGTCCCACTATTCCGCGAAGCATATATAGTTATGATCACGCACTTGGTTATTTAAATCCGGCTTGTTTAAAAAGGAAAAATTTATCCGGTTTTCTAATTGAACCAATGTGATTGTAACTGCGCTTAATGTCGTACGCAATGATAACAATCCGGTTCTAGAATGGGGTGTTACAAAAATGAACATTTTTATTTCGGCTTAAATATGCTTTTAGTCACTATAAATATACCAAATTTTGAAATGAGCATTTTTTTGTCCCTGCCATTATTATAGATTCGTTAAAAGCTGATGTGTCACTTAACACTTAACAGTGAGTGTTGGGAATCTGTTAGGCATATTTGCACTTAACGGATTTATGATAATAGTGGAGACCAAAAGTGTTCACTTTTAAAAAACAAGAGACACAAACCACAACTCAAATATTTAAGGGACTAAAGCCAAAACTTGGTATATCTATAGGTACCAAAAACATATTCAAGACTTTTTATTTATTATCAAAAGAATAAAAATATCACATAAGCATTGAGTAAGAGGAGAGTGAAAAGCAATGCACCTCAGAGCCATGCTGCATGAGAAATGTTTCTTGAACTCCACCAGGTATCAAAATGCAACTATACCCGGAGGCTAACAGGGACATAAAATTTTTCTTTGTAGCTGGTGTAAGACCCAACCATGTCCATATGTGTCGCAAAAATGGTGTGTAAAACACCTATCCATTAATGTGAAGAGAATAACTTGATATGCAATCCCCAATAACCATCATTAATCATTTAGAGTCTCAAGTAAAAGCTTTACCGCACTGCTAGCAAGAACTTTAACTTTTGGAAGAGGCATGAAACCTGTGTTGTCAGCTAGTGCAACAACGCCAATCGGCAAAACTGAATGTGGTTCATAACCAAAAACTGCATGTTGAGCATACTGTTGTTACTATCAATGAGCTACTAACAAGATACAAAAAAACAGGGTAATCAATAAATTATTAGGTCAAATTCTGCAGACAAAAATTGAGTTCAAAACCCCCTTCCAACAGGAGAAGGCCAAAATAACCAGGAAAAATGGGAAAACTACAGTGACAGTCAGTTGGACTTTCTAAGAAAGCAATTATAGGAAATTAGGAATCATTACGAGGCTTAACCAATGGGGAAATATAAAGTATATCCGTAAATTGTGTTAATTAGATATATGGAAATCTCCAGCAACTGAGGTGAACGAAACAATAAGCTTTCTTAAAGCTTGTAAATCATGTTTCTGATCTAGTTCAAGTCAACAAGTAATTTCATCCAGGACAATTAACAGTCACCTTTGAGTTTTTAATTTAAAGAAGATATGTAGTTGTGTAAAAAGGCAAATCCTTATTACTAAATGGTGAAATGAAAAGATGGTATCCTAAACGGAGGCAAAGGAGGAAGAAGAATGGGTTAAACAAAAAATAAAAAAAATTAAGATTACACTGAGTAAATTAAGAAGAAAAAGACATTTCTCTCCTGCTCCAGGGAGGACTGGAGACGAGAGATAGGGTTAAGGTATACTAAAAATGTAGGGTCCGTACTATATTGTAATTACCTCACAATCACTATAGAGCAGACCGAAGTAGCATTCTACTCTCTTGTCCCCTTTGAATTTTAGTAAAAAATTAAACTTTTCACTGCCACTATGACTCTTTCTTCCCAAAGCAAAGCCAAGGAACATAAAAAACATGTTCGCCCACTAAATAAAAAATGAGAAACAAGTTTTTGGTTCATTTCCCCAATTTATCTTGCCATTTCAAGAGAATTCATCTTAGGCAGGAAAAAGGAATGTAAACGAAAACAACTTACATTCATAGAAAAACAAATTTTTTTATGAAAATTGAATTGACAATTTTTTTATACAAACCATAAGCACGATTAGGATCAAAGGCTTTTATATCCTCTACATGAAGCGTGATGGGAAAGTAATTGCAAACGTGCTTGCATATGTACCTGAAAATATACCAAAAAATAAATAAAAATAAAGTAGATTTATGACACATAGCAGAAAACAAAAATGCTCGAATTGTGCATTAGAAAAAGCAAAAAGGCAGCAACGAAAGCGAAAAACTACCTTGACAATCTTCGCCCAAATTTGCTCTTCTCATCCATAGGAAGCACCATAAACACAAACAAAAAACCGAAAACCCTGACACGCAAAACCCCAAAACTCAACGAAATCGAACCGAAAGCAGAAGAAAAAGAAGAACACAGGGATGGAAAACGAACAAGAGCGATTTGGAGAGAGGAAGGAAGAACAAGGAAAAGAGGATCAACGCGACATTGAAGTGAATAGCTCCCAGCCACAGCGCCAATGCAAGAATCGTGCTGAACAAGTTGGATGAGTCGCCGAATTCTTCTCTCCCCCTGAACACTTTCTCCGCCGCGTCTCCTCCGTTGCGGCGGCGTTCACTTTCCGGTACCGCCGCCATGATCAGGAAACGGCGTCGTCTCAAGTAACAGACTGCAAGCACACTGATGGCGATGGTTGCCTGGTTGTTATGGAAACATGAACGAGAAGCGTTGTGTAAATCGCGGAAATGTGAGGGGTAAAAGCGTCAATTCAGCTTCATCACATGCTTCGCTCGCTGAATCGAGATTTCACTTTTTCAGAGGTAAAGGAAAAAGGTTTAGACAAGAGGTGAAAAAGGTTCAGTTATGTATCTGCCGAGATGGGTAGTGATCAGGTGCGGTGGGGAGCAGGGGACCACCGTATCGTTAATATCAACGGCACTGGCTGTGTTCCGCCACGTAACACGTGGCAATTGACGATTCAGTTATCGTTATTTTCAATGTTTGGGTCCAAATTGTCCAATTGAATTTTAACGTGCTTAGTTAATAATTAATGTACGGTACCTACTTCCTCCCTTCGCTCACAACCACCCATTGGCGTTTACGTGCATTTATTGATAAGTTATAATCGTGGATTTTGGTTTGCCTGTCTTGTTACGCAGGGCTTTGGTTACGTTTCGTGATAAATGTAATGAATGTAAGAACATCGAAAAATGGAAGACATACGTTTTACATGATGGCGAAAGGGTCATAGGATTTGTTTTAAATTTCACTCGTAAATAAAAAAAACTTATGTTTTGGAGTCACATTAAACAAGATTACACTTAAAGTTTGTCTCTTGAGTTACAATCAATTTTTGTTACGATGAACCATTAGAGTCACATGAATTGCGTGTTGAATACAAAAATTAGATTGAGTGGTACTCATATATGATATGAGGTCTCGAGCTTTGTTTCAGGAGCAAGCCATTGACTTTTCCTGATATGAGGTATCACTCCTGTTGATGAGATGGGATTCTGTTAATAATGCAAGAGTATAACGTTTTGGTAAACATTAATGATGGGCCAATGAAAGATAAGTGTCCTTCAATTAATGCTCTTTCCATTGCATAATCCATGCATTTCTCAAGTAAGAACTTGTAAGAGAAAAAAAAGAAGAAGGGTTTTTTATCTAAATTTTTTTTCTCTAAAAGAAATTCATATAGAACCATTTTACTTAAGAAAGATGCCCGTACCATTAGGTCCTAATTCATGTGAGTTAGAGCCAAATAGCTCTCAATAATAAAGATTTGTGTGGGCTAAAAACTCTATGGGTAGGGCTAGCCCGTAAGCCACCCATAATTTTATAAAATTTTATATCATATTTAATACATTAAAAATTATTTTAACAAACAAATATTTAACATTTTCTTAAAATATTTTATAAAAATATACAAGTGAAAATGTAAACAAAAATTTAATATATGTAAACATTTAATTACTAGCTCTATTAAATTTATTATTAAAGGATGTCATCAAATGATTTTCTGATCACAAGGACTCATAACATAATAAAGCAATTTTAGTGAAAAAATGATCTTAATTAAATAACTGCTCTTAGTATGTTATATATTTAAAAATTAAACTATTAATTTTCTTCAACTACTACCATCACAGAAATATTAATATCCACAAAATTACCAAGGTGCATTGTGTATAATATGTTTCAATGTAAATTTATATAGATACATAAAATGCTTAGACATCAATAGAAAATTTCATTTTTACTGATGCGCAGATCAAATCTCTATTGAAACATATAACTATTGAAACATTTATTTTTACTTATATTATGTTTATAATTTATTTTCTATTTATAAATAATAATAAAAATTATAAAAGAAAAAATTTGGCCTGTGATTAGCGCTACCCAACCCACTAATTTATAAGTTTTGCAGTTTCAACCCATTTTGACGAGTTATAAGAAAAGCTTTTTACTACCTTTTTTAATTAAAGCTTACCATAATGAGATTTAATTGCTCAATTTTGGTCGAAAATATTGGTTTTGGACGTAGAGCTCAACCTTATCATTTAATGGCTTGAATTAAAAAAAAGTTTTGTTTTTATTTTTATTTTTGAAAGGTACAGCATTTTTTAATTTCAGCATTTTTTTTGTAATATTCCTTTATTATAGTTGTTGTGAAGTATGCATTTCTAACCACTGATGATAAAGAGTGGTGTAGTATTAATGGAAATCACACGAGAAGAATTTAAAGATCTTTAATTCTTTCTCTTTGGAAATCTTCTTCTGCCCTCCTTCATTTCCCACTCTAGGACACGGTGATCTGATCAACTGCAATGTGGATTACTCTCCAGTCTCCACCTTCTGCATGCATGCCAGTTGTCGCGAACATTAATAAAGCCACACTCCCAACCGTTGATAATTCACCTACCTTATGATATGACGCGATGATGCAATAATACAGAGTTAAGGAGTAGAATATATATTGTTATGGATAATTGAATGAGTGTTGATTATAACAACATAAAAAAATATATTAAATAGGATACCACTCATGTTTTTCTTGTATCACTCTTATTGTGTTTCAAAAAGTTAAAAACAAAGAAAGTAACTCTCAGGGTATTCTTTAAAATTCTTTTCTCTTTGTCTTTTGTTTTGTTTTTTCTCTTCCCTTGTTAATACATGTTGTATAAAATTGCGCCTATTACAGTATATATTTTGGTCTATATGTTGAATCATAATTACCAATAATATTATTACACTACACTTTGTAATAATTTCTATTATTTATTAACTATATGTGTTAATTGCAATTCTCTTACCACGCTTACCTAGAATATTGTGTTATCTTGGTCTTGTATTATAATAACATTAGGGTACTCTATCTTATGTCTATAAAAATAATGTTTAGTAATATATGTTGATTTTTACTTCAAATTAGACTTTTGATTTTTTTTTATCTTAAAAAATAAATAAACTGGGTGGCCATATACATTTTCTTTTTCGGTATTTGTAGTTTTGAATATATATATATATTACGAGATTAATAAACATTACAATTTCTTAACTAATCAATCATTACTTTAATTAGTATGTACATCATTCACTTTCGCTAATTTCACATTTGGTCCGACAGAAAACTGCATTTTTGAATTTTTTTTTTTTGTATGTGTATAAATTAGCTAAAATGACGACGTAAATATATAGACGGCATGGAGTATTTTGTTATGCATATGTAATGCAAATTAATTTATATTTTCTTAATAAAGTTGTGTCATATATTAATTTACATTTATGTTTTATTAATTTCAGATAAATGATAAAATAAAACTTAAACATTTAAATAATAGTAAGTTTTAGTTTTCAAATTTAAAACTTAATTTGCAGCTACGTACAGGAAGCTAGATGAAGTGTAAGATCCATGGAAGCACCAAAGAAAGTTACTACACGAAGGGTTCTTCGTCCATCAAACCCACAACAATTAATCAAGAAGGGAAAGTGCTTCAAGATCTAAGCCTGCAAAATCACCACCCGCTGTACAGAAGACTTTTTCCAAAAACACCAGCAAAAAATGGCGAAGCTTCATATCAATGTTATATCCAACAATCACCACTTATTGACCGCCATGTGGATTGACCTGTCATGTATCCTAAAGTTGTGTTGAAATCTTAGCGCTCGATGTATAATAACAGTCACTTTTGTGATTGGTTAGTGTTATAGGTTTATACGTTATTTAATTATCATATGCATAGGAAAAAGATTTGTTACCTATCAGAAATACAAGAGGCATGTGACTGTAATTCTTGTGTCAATTACACGAAGGCACTACAAGAAAAAAGTTTATTTGTGACAAAAAAATTTGTCACAAATTTTGTCACAGATGATAATTTTCGACACAAATAATCAAATTTTGTCACAAATAAATTTGCGACGCAGGCATTTGTGACGAAACTTCATATGTAGTGACGAAATTTGCGACACTAATAAACAAATTTCTTGTAGTGAGGAGATTTCTTTTATATATTAAACTAAATAACAAATACACACACATATACACAATGTGGGACTTCTATACTATGTACAGCAACACTCTCCCTCAAGCTGGAGCATATAGATCGTATGCATCAAGCTTGTTACATATTTGGTCTATCCTAGGTCCTCTCAAAGACTTAGTAAATACATCAGCTAATTGATCATTTGAGTTGACAAAACGAGTGACTATATCTCCTGAGAGAACCTTTTCCCTAAGGAAATGACAATCTATCTCAATGTGCTTAGTCCTTTCATGAAACAATGGATTTGAAGCAATATGCAAAGCAGCTTAATTATCACAAATGAGAGATGTTGGGCCAGTGTCTCCAAACTTGAGTTCCTTCAGTAGCTGTTTTAACCAGATGAGTTCACAGGTAGTTGTGGCCATGGAGCGATATTCTGCTTCAGCACTTGATCTAGCAATTACACTTTGCTTCTTACTTCTCCAGGAAATCAAGTTATCTCCAACGAATACACAATACCCAGAAAGTGGATCTTCTATCAATAGGAGAACCTGCCCAATCAGCATCTGAGTATCCTACAACTCTGGTATGACCTTTGTTTTCATAGAGAAGACCTTTGCCAGAAGCAGTCTTGATGTACTTGAGGATACGGATTACTGCATTCCAGTGATCTTCACAGGGAGAATTCAAGAACTGACTTACTACACTGACTGCAAAGGAAATGTCTGATCGAGTAACTGTGAGATAGTTCAGTTTCCCAACCAATCTTCTATACCTTTCTGGATCAGAAAATAACTCCCCCTGATTTGGTAAAAGCTTGACGTTCGGATCCATAGGAGTATCGACGGGCTTAGCATTCAACAATGCTGTCTCCTCAAGAATATCCATAGCATATTTTCTCTGTGATAGTACAATGCCATCTTTGGATTGGGCCACTTCTATCCCTAAGAAATATCGGAGTCTTCCAAGGTCCTTTGTTTGAAAATGATGGCACAAATGTTGTTTTATCTGAGTTATGCCATGAGTATCATTACCTGTAATGTCATCATATACTACCAAATAAATAGAACCTGAATCAGAGTGTCTGTAAAAGACTGAGTGATCAGCCTCACTTCGAGTCATGCCAAACTATTGTACATCAGTGCTAAACCTTCCAAACCAAGCTCGGGGAGACTGCTTGAGACCATACAAGGATTTTCAGAGACGACAAACTAGGTTAGACTCCCCCTGAGCAACAAACCCAGGAGGTTGCTCCATATAAACCTCTTCCCGCAGATCACCATGGAGGAAAGCATTCTTTATGTCCAGCTGATACATAGGTCAGTGATGAATGGCTGCCAT